ACGGGGGCTGCAACAGCAAGAGCCATCTCAAGGGAGGATCGAAAGGGGCCCAGGAGCGGAGGTGAGCGAATTCTGTGTAACTGCGAAGTGAAATTACGTTTAAACGAGAGTTAAGTCGAGCTAACCCTTTGCTCTCCAGCGGTGACTCTTTGGCATCACTGGTTTTGTTGCGGCGACAATATTTATTTATGTTTGATTTTTTTAAAATATCGCTTCGTAAATAGGTTCCTAAGCTCTTTACGTATAATCTTATTTTATGAGTAATTATCTTATGGTAATCTTATGAGGCCGCACCGAACGCGCGAGTCTGAGTCTGGAGTTGTTGGTTAGATCGAGTGAAACAAGAGTGCAAAGGGTTAAGTTAAATTAAGGGAGAGTAGTCGTTTGCAAATTTATATATATATATATATATTTCTATAGATAAGTTGGAATGGATTGGAAAATTAGATAGGATAGTAATGTATTATATCAGGAATCAAAATAAAAAAGAAATTATTTGTTTTTTCAAATTTAGCAGTCTGTCGATTATTTCTATATATTTTTTTGATCAATTTTTAAGGGGCGTACATAAACATTGTTGGAGAACGTTGTTGAACATCGAATTTGAAAATAGTTTAATTTGGAATGGTTGTTCGGATCGGTTAATACGGTTACAAATTTTCAGGTACACCTGCTGCTATTGTTCTTGGAGTGGCGTAGACAACTGGTGCCTTAAACGGCACTTGAACACGCATCTGAAACCGTTCGCGTGCACCTTGTGCGAGTACAAGGCCGCACGCGCCGAGCGTCTAGCCACCCACGTGTTGAAGGTGCACAACAGACGACAATGCTCAAGATGCTCGTTCCTTGGCGAAGATGCGGCACAGCTTCAGATGCACCAGCTGCATGTGCATCGCGTCAGCAGTGCCAACGCACCCGCGTCTTCCACGGCCCAAGCTGCTCCACCACCGACCAATCGTCATCAGCAACCTTTACAGTAAGCATCCTGTTAATTTATCAATCTCATAGATTTCTCTCTCTGAAACAGAAATTCCATAGGAATTGTATAATAACGATATTCTCAAAAAGTTTCAAAAAGTTATTCGTCAAATGTTAAAAAAATTGAATCGAACGCTTTCCTCCCTCTCCTAGTTGCACGCCTCAGTTTGATCTTTAAAATGTTTGATACAATCCTCAGATAAGTTAAGTAATTTATTAGGATTTAAATTTTCAATCAAAAAAACTTCTCTTTAATTTTCACATTCTTTTTCTAGCGTGTAAACTGCGTTTCTCACTCAGTTAAACAATTTGAACGCAATTGTTCCGGGCGTGGAACCAATTCAAACTACACTCTGCCCAACGAGTCCGTTCCTTTTTTTCATCTTCCGATTCATTTCATTCCAATTGGCTTGCAAACCGTGTCGAACGACACGGAAAACGTACAACTCGAGCAACCCGCTTAACTTGGAAAATTCGGCCAACAACATTTCTCGCGCAACATTTTTTCTTCACGCTCCGTTGACCGAGCGCCGGAGAAAGAGAGCTTTCCACCCCGTGTCCCAAAACTCGACGAATTCGAGCGGACTCGAGCGTGTGTGTATGTGTTTAGCTCGGTGGTTCCGACACGGGAATCGTGCGGCAATCGGGAAAATTCATTAAATACGATTTAATTGGAAGTCGATCGGACGCGATTAATCCACGCTCCCGTTACTTTTTCGGTCGCGCTACCCCGGGGCAAACAAGTGTGTAACGAGCGGATTTAAATTTCGTACGGTCGCTCCCTCCCCGGTGTTTCCTCCCGCTCGTTAACCACGTCTTTGAGCCCATCGACCGCATCGCCGAATTTCGAAGGGAAACTTCGAACGCGTTTAACCAATTAATCCCATTTTCGTCGATCCATTCGTCGAAGGGAAATTTTGTTTATCGGCTCGTGTTTACCATCGAAAACCATTTGTAGATCTCCCGTTACAAAGCAAATATTTGTTATTAACAATTTCTTCCCTCCATCCTCTTTGACCTGCTTCATTATTTATTTATTTTCGCGTGTGTATATATGTGTATCGTGGTACACGCGATGTTGTAATTTGGGAGAATTGGATATTAATGGAAAATTAGGGTAAATTTTCCCCGTCTCTGAAAAAATCTTCTTCCAAATACCAAATACTTTTCTCCAACAAATGGTATAATTTCAGTTCACTCACAATCTTCTCGTTAATAAAATTTGAATGTTATCCTGGATTCTTTTCTATATATTCAGAGAATCGAATTAATTAATTTGAAATTCGAGATGAAGTTAAAAAGATTATCGAAGCTTCAATCTTTCTTTCTTTTCTTTCTTTTTTATATCATACTTCACAGATGAAATATTTTTTCTTTCATTCATTCGTGATACGTAATATCCCATAGAGGGATAATAAACCACGAGGCTGGATGATTTATCGTTAATTATCGAATTTACAGTCCCGCGGGAGGAGGCCGACCACCACCTGGTCCGCCAGTTTTTCCAGCCCCAGCACCGGCCATAGCACCTGCTACCACCGTGATACCACCGACAACGATACTCGGGTAAGCACATCCGCTGACCTCGTCGTTCCCATGCTCTCCTATTAGCTGTATTTATTCATTTTTTTCCCTCCCCCTCCCCTTCTCCCCTTTCTCCGTACAAAATGTGAATCACACAATTGCGCACAACGATCGGCGAACGCTAATTTTGCTCGTAAATTAGCATTTCGTTCGCTCGTTTTGTCGGCCCGGACGACAAATCGGGAACACTAGCTAGCGATTTTGATGTTTTATCGAGGATCCAGGCGTTATATACATGTATACATATATATTCAAGATATTTTATATTCCGTTATTTCGTATACCCTAGATCCTCGAACGATAAAGTAAATGTCCGATTTCCATTGTGCGAGGAATAATTTGAAAATCGATTCGAACGATTCGATCAATTTTTCTTTGAAAAAATTTTTTTCTTTTTTTTTGGCACAATGGACAATCACGTTTCGTTTTCATTTCTTACCATTACCCCCTCCCCGAGGTCACGAAAAAATATCCAAGGGAGTCGAACCGTTAGCGCCGCTTTATGTGCTCTTAAGTTGCGAGTGCGATTCCTGCGCTTGCTTTCTTTTTTTTTTTTTTTTTTTTTTTTTTTAAACTCCAGCATTGTACACGATCGATGATCGACGTTGCTCGGCGGCAGGTTGTTACGTGCATAATTTTGTTATGTACAAAAAAAAAAAACACAGAGGGCGACGACGTTAAACGCGATCCTTTCTCTCTTCTCGATTATTCTCGCCCTCCCGTCGAAGGGAGGAGGAGGGCAAAATTGTTGTAAAACGAAAGAGATGGATCGCAAAACGAGATTTGCACAACCTGCCGCTTCGACACCGCTCTCTCCCGCCCCTCCACCTCTCCGCTTTATGTTACGTTGCAGCGTCATTTTTTGTTCCAACGTTTTCTTTTTTTTTCTATCCGTTCGCGCCGTGTGCACGCTTCGTTTGTTTGCTTTCGGTGTCGCCAGGACCACGTGTGGTATATGTGCACGCTCCTGCGCTTCACTTCCAGTTTGTCTCTGTTTCTTCTCTCGTTGTCACTTGTTTCTTCTCTCTCTCTCTCTCTCTCTCTCTCTCTCTCTCTCTCTCTCTCTCTCTCTCTCTCTCTCTCTCTCTTTCTCTCATTCTTTTTCTTCTTAAAAACGAAAAGAAAAGAAAAGAAAAGAAAAGAAAAAGATAAAAAGAACAAAAAGTAAACGTCGTCTCGTCGTCTCGTCGCACGGTCGACGAGCGCTCGTTCGTTGGTAGAAAAATGACGCGAACGTAACTTATGGAACGGTGCCCCGGTGGTTGCAGCCACGAGATGGTAAACTCCCCTGCAACTGCAGCGACAATGGCGTACCCGACCTTGGAGGAGGAGAGGCGGTCGAGCGGTGACGGGCCCGGCCACGACCAAGACCAGCGTCGTCGCCATCGTCACGCCAACGACGACGCCAACCACGTCGATCACCGTCGATCAACCGAGATACGGAGCCGCGGCCACGGCTCGTCCCGAGCCGTTTCCGCGTCGTCGTGCCCCGTCGAGCAACAACACGACGTTGTACACGACGACGAACCGTGCACCGGTTGTACCAATCACCACCACAACCACCATCACCACCACCACCACAACCACCACCATCACCTCACTTCCACTATACTTAATCGTGATTTTGCGCACAGCTACCGAGCCGTTCCCGAAGAGTGCAATGGCCCCTCCTCCCAATCCACGGGGGCCTCCACGTCCTTCGATTGCGTCTGGCCGGTCGAAAACATCGAGAGGAAACCGGGCGTGAGGCAGAGATCGAGAAAGCAGAGCCAGCCGAGGAAGGTAACCTGGAACCAAGACTTCGACGACTCGTTCGAAGAATCGGGCGAAGGGGCGGAGGAGCAAGCGAAGAAAGAGGAAATAGAAGAAGAAGAAAAAGCGAGCCCCGAGGCGTCGAAGAAGTCGCCCGAGAAACAGTTGGACGAGTTGAAGGAACGTTACCGCCTTCAACTTACTAAACGAAATTTGCTCAAGTGTCGGCTCTGCCCTGACGACGCCCCGGCCAGAGGGACGGTTTGCCAACCGTATCACACTAAGGCTTCTCTAACTCTGCACAAATTGTGGAGACACGACAAACGCAAGAGGAGCCTGAATACGACCCCCGAGGATCGCCCGTTGTCCCAGGTGTCGTCCTCCATCACGTTGAAGGCGACGGTGTTCACCAACCCTGAATACGTGTACAACAGATAACAGTTGGTCTCGACAGGGATAGACGATCGCGAAGATGGATCTCGAAACGCATTGGTTCTAGATCGAGAGATTCTTTGACCGGGTGGGAGGATGAGAGTGGATGTTTTCATCCAAGTGTGATCTCGTGATTATTGATAAAGATAAAATTTGTGCGCGATTTTGCGAGAATTGCGAGAATTGCGAGAAATTGAAGATCAGAGATTTTTGTTATTTGGAATGATGTATCTTTTAATGATATTCCAAGGACTTGTCACAACGAGTCTGAACACCGATACGAGAATTGCGAAAAGAGATTTTTTATTGTTTTGTCGCTTTCTAAAGATTTTCTAAAGACTCGTTGTGATTAGTCCTTACTATTAACCAGTGCCTTTCGACATCCAGCTTCCGGCTAATTCAGGGTATATCGAGGTTCTCGATACTAGTTGATCTGTCGCCCCCTCATCAAAGAAAACGCGGGCAAAATGAGATAAATTGTTCGTTCCTTGGGAGTTTCGGTGTTCCTAAAAACCTATAGAATATTGGACCACATCGCCGAAATATTGACTAGAATATTGGACCACGTTGCAGCAAAGGAGAAATATTGGAGAAAAAAAAAAAAAGAAGAAAAGCGAAAAAACTTTCCTCGTAGCCAACGAAAACAATTTTAGATAGAAAAAAAATTGAATCATCGAAATGGTTAAATGGACAACAGATAGGGACAGAATTTTTTGATTACAAAAAAAAAACGAGAGGAGATGATTTCATAAGAGAATTGGAACAGCGAAAAAAAGTGTTAGCGTTATATCCGTATAAAAAAGATAATGTAAAATGTATCTTGATTCGAGTTTTGATAATTCAGTCGTGATTCGAACACAGGATTCCTCTCGAGGAATAACGTTTAAAATCATATTTTCATGTGATCGATAAATCGTGTAAATTTAAAAGGTAAAAGAAGAAAAAAAAGAAAAAAAAAAGGAAAAAAATAAAGAAAAAGAAAAAGGAAAAAAAAAACAAAAAAACAAGAAAACGATGTTACTGTTGGACGATCGTCTCTATTCGATGTCTTGTGCGTTTGTCCATCGTCCGTCTTTGCAATTAAACAATACATAATTAATTCTCGTTTTTCGATCGATATGGACTTTGTAAGCGTAAGGTACAATTTTCTGGATGGACTATTGCAAAGAATACGAAAAGGAAATAGCTAGAGATTGAGCCACGTGATCCGCGAAATTGATGGGTGGCCGAGAGACGAGCATGATTTTTATATAAGAAATATTTGTACAAAATTAATCTCTTGTTTATGTTATTATATGAAATATATTATATCTATTGTATTTGAGCAAAGGACGTGAGAAGCCAGGATAAATGTAGATTTCCAGAGAATGTCGGCTTCATTCTCTGGGATTCTACAATTTCCGGCACGATCCTTTCTTGTCAAACGCTCCTTTATTCATACGAATAAATTTCATTTCATTAATTATTATTTTTTCAGATATTTTAATTTTTCCTTTTTAAATTAAATGTTCCTTTTTAAATATTACAATCGTAATCTTTAATTGTTTATTATTACGATCTTTTTTCTTAAGTAATTAATATGTTAATATAATACGTTAATATAATTAATTTTATATTATTATTATATATATAATTATAATATTATATATTATATATAATATATATAATTATAATATAATATTATATATATAATTNGGATATTTTTTGTGAAAGAATTTCTAATGAAAAAGTTATAACCGTGAATAAAATAAAATAAAAATATGTTGAAATCACGAGTGTATTTTCAATCTCTATTTTTTAACATGTATATTTCTAACTATTATAGTAAGTATTATAAATATAAGTAATATATTTATCGTTTCACATTGAATTCTTAATAAAAAAAAAAAAAAAAATACGTACGTATCGAATGTTGATATTTTTATCATTTGATTTCTCAATAAAATTTAGTTTTAATTTTGGCCGCTACTTATGTTGCTATCTCGTTCCATACCCAGTCGGTAACATTGCACATGAATGAAAATGGTAAAAAGAGGTTATGTAACTCCCAAATTCCTATGATCAAAATAAACAAAAAAACATTTCAAAAATCTATTAAACTATCTATCGAAAGCCAAGTCGACTCCATCAAGTCAATTCATTTAATTTCTAAAAAAAACTACTTATTACAATCGAATGCTCTAATTTAGAGCAAAGTTTTATTTTCTAGAAACAAGAATTCGTCAGTTTGATCTTCGAATGGTTCAAATATCACTCTGCGTCATTCTGCGTCTCTCGAAAAAAGATGGAAGAGAGCACGCAACGTCGACAACGGTCGATAATTGGATGAAACGCGAAACCGCACCGACTTGGCTCTTTCCTATCGAATAACATTACCTTCGAGTCAACTGCTTTGACACACCACCGATTTCACGTTGGCAATTTCAAACGAGGAAAACGTGTTCGTAACTTACTACGAACAAGAAACGTGTGAACTCTCATTGATTCGTTAAGTCGAGAGCATGAAATTTTGATCCGCAGTTCGTTTAAAAAAATAATAAAAAAATAACAAAAAAAAAAAAAAAAAAAAAAAAAAAAAAAAAAAAAAAAAAAATGAGAGATGTTTTTGAAAAACAGAAACGAACAGTATCAGTAGTCTAGTATCAGTGTATTCTAGCCGAATACACGCATATATTTGCATACTTTGCCACTTTTATCAGGTCGAAATTGTAACCACGCATCCCTCCTTTCTACTACTTCTCGCGAAACGTTCAAAAATTGCGGTTTTGCCCTTCAGGCGTGAATTGTACATTTAAATGGATCCGAAGTTTCTTTTAATTTCAAATTCGCAGAAAAAAGCGAATTTTAAAACACGAATGTTAAACAAAAATTGAAAAAGTGTTAGGAGAAACGATTTAAAACGCGTTAAAATGAAAAGAAATTTCAGAAGAATGGACGATATAAAAATCGATAAAATCGATTTTCTTTTGTCAAAAAAACTTTCGTTATATCCATTTCCTATTTCTACACGGATCCCACGTTATCAAACACTTCGGATTATAAACGCGTTTTTGAACGTTTTTTGACGATGAATTCCGAGTCTGAAAGTTCATTAGATACCGATCAATTTACGGAAAATATCACCGGAACGAAGAAAAGGACGAAGGGGTCGAGAGCGCGGGCTCGAAGCGGAAGTACAACGTCCAAGACGGATTGCGATCCATCTGATAATCCACAGAGCGAAGTTGTCACGGTGAAACAGGTTAGAACGAACAAAACGATGCTGGAGGGGAAAAAAAAAAAAAAGAAAAAGAAACAGACAAAAAAATAAAAAGAACAACGTCACGTTGAACAGTCGCTTGATCGTGGTTGCACGTGGCCACGATTCCGCGAGTTATTAAGTTAAAATTTCGATGCAAATGAGCGATATGACGTCGTTGTAATTTCGAACCGGTGACGCTCTGCAATTCGACTGCTTTGTATTTTCAATAGAGGCGATGTATGGTCGATGTATGTAATATAATATATCGTGCATAATGGTGAAAGCTGGTGAATCGAAATTCGATATTTTTCTTCTTTTTTTCCTTTTTTTCGAGTTTTCCTTATTTAATTGCATGCTTCCACACGTTGCATAATTAGCGCATATCAATCTGTAAAATTATCATTGTTGCAAAATTACAATTGACCTCTCCCGCTCCAATTCCATTCACGATCAATTGTCGATCCTTCCAATTGTTGGTCTTGATTAACACTCTCGATTGCTCGTTTCGTTAATGCATAGTGCAACATTATAATTTTAGAACAAACTTTCGAAAATTATCGTGCCTAGGATATTTTTTTCACAAATAAACACGATAATAACCACGATAATAAATTTCACCAAATAAATAACTCTCGACATAACTTTCGAGAGTTTTATCCTCAAAATATATATCCACAGTGTAACGCGATTCGTTTAAAATGGAGGTCGATTATTGGAAACTCGTTCATCCCTCGAACAATCGGATTTTCATGGAATTTTTCGAAGATCGTTTCGAGGATAAGTCGATCTTTATGCGAAAATTTGGATAAACGGAAGTTGGCTGGCAGCACAGGATGTTGTCAGGCGCGAGAACGCGGTTTCTAACTTTCGAAGTGGAAACGCGCACGGGCGTACAGCGAATGTCGAGATTTGTGCCTCGATTCTTCGCATCGATAAGCGGATAAAAGAAATCAAGAATATTCTAACGGCATCCCACCCGGATACGGGTTACAACTGATGGAGTCTGTCGTCCTGAAAGGATCTCATCTTTCCACCGTTTTTATTTCACGCGGATCCGAGATCTCGGTCGGAATTTCAAGGAATTTCTCAATCTTCCGCAACCAACCTTCCTTGTCCCATATTCACTCCGATCTTTCACATCTCTTTTCTTTATTAATACACGCGCCTTCCCTTCCCCTCTCCTTTCCTTCCTGTGATTGCGTAGAAATGAATTTCTAACAGGGCGAGTAAATGTAATATTTTATTTCCTCGAACGAATCTTACGCGAAAAAAAAAAAAAAAGAAATAAGACTCTGATGAAATATAGAAAATTTATATGCGTGAACGAATGTTTAATATTTAAATCAATCCTTTTGATATTTTTCCATTGTAACTCTAAGCAAAAATCACTCTTCAACCCCCTTTCAATATCACGATTTAAAACATCTCCAAACTTGAAATTAATTCTCTCACTGAATTCGTGCTTCAGGATCGACCAACTCCTCCCCCTCGCGTTAAATATCGGATCAGGGTGGGAAAATCCTCACGGTACACCGGAAGGAAGGAAGGAAGGAAGTGTTTCGCAGCGTTAAAGGCATTTTTTAATATCCGGTCGCTGCGAGCAAGCGTGACTATGACGCTCGTATATATCAGTTTATAGAGGCACTTGAGCAGGGCGAGCGCGCGTGAAGTGGCCACGTATACACACGTATACGCGGGTATACGTGTATAAATATCCGACGAAAAAAAGCGCCGGCCAACAACTTTCTCATCATTACGCATCCAGCGCGTTAACGCATGAATATTCATATTCGCGCCTGTATATATATTTCCCAACTTTTTTATATTCCTTCCTTTCTTCCTTTCTTTCCTTTTTTTCCCCCC